TTGCAAGTCTAGCTGATTTGTAGAACTTTCTTGAAGTAGTGGTTCAAACAGGTATGCAAAGTGGCTCGAAAAATAATGTAGCATACTTTTAGGACTTGGAATTAATTTTTAAGCTGCACATTTATATATACAGATGCATAATTTTGGGATTGGAATGAAATATTTAGGTCTGTTGAAAAGGAGCTGAACTAATACTGCTTATAATAATGCTTACGATCTACAGCCGGCTAAGTCTCTTTCCAGGCCCTGGGTTGACTACGTCAATAATATGTCTAGGAACATTCCGTACATCTGAAAGCAAACTTACAAGACTCTCAATAAGATTAGATTGAATACATCAGAAGGTTAGGTTCTATATAAATAATCTAATTGTGTTGCTAAGGTACTAAACTTGCATTGTACAGATTCAGCGCTTAAAATATATATACAAAAAAAAAAAAAAAAAAAAAAAAAAAACAGTTTGCTGGAGAGCGATATGAGCTACTTGAAAATTTCATATATTTTTAACTTTATCAAAAGCACTCCGACCCTTGTAAAAGGTGTATTTGTGGATTTGGGAGGAACCTCTTTATATTTTTATTAAATAAAACTAAGAGTTAGTAAGAGTTAACAAATGCTCAAATTTATGCAGAATTTGGCTACTTACAGTCTAACCCAGTCTATTTCACAAAGTCTGGGTTGCTGAAAAGTTAACCTTTTGAAACTCATGCAAATTACTTACGAATTCCAATTATCGTTCAAAGTCCCTTGACTTTGTTAGGGCCTTCAAAAGCCAACAGTAATTAAGTACACAAAGTCAAGGTACTTGCTGTCTGCCATATTTTTTACAACTTTTAAATTTGAGCTAATCAATATTTATTCAATTTTTATTCAATAAAATCGAAACATTGCTTCCACCCAAGCCAATCCAACTTTCATTTAGGCGAACCGTTTTGTGGTCGCTTGGCTCAACATAATCACACTTTGAATATTTTCAGTTTTGTTGCACTTAAAGCCAGCTGCTGCGCCAGCAACTCTTAATGAGTTGAACTGAGTTTTGTGGAAGCTGTAGCCGCGGCAGCCGCAGGACCGCAAAACCGTGAGCGCACCACATCGAGTGGTTGCCAACTGTCTGCATAAAACAGCAGCAGCGGGAAGAGAGTGAGGGAGGAGAGAAAAAACAGGAGGAAAAACAAGCGTAAGCGTTACATTGTTATAATTTATGGGGTCCAGTTACGAGTTCAAAACAAATAGAATTACAAATACAAATGCATACGACATTAGCATTGTCGGATCTTGGAATTAACACCAGGGCCAAGGCACGCCAAGAATTCGGAGCATATTGTGTGTGTTAGTGTTGGTGTTTGTGTTGTCTGTGTATGTGTGTGTGTTAGTTGTGTAAGCTGCTTGACTTCTGCAATCCGAATGCCAACAGCTTCCACACAAAAAAAGGCAGCATGTTAAGTAAACTTTATGGCCGAGCACAGGAAGGAGCGCAAGAAAATTGCGGCGTGCAAATAAAACCAGCGCAAAAGTGAGGCATCAAAAAGCAACAGCAACATCAACAACAACAGCAACAACAGCAGCAGCAACAGCAGCAGCAACAACTATAAAACCTGCAGCGATAGTAAAATGCAAATTGGGCGGCAGTTGGGGGCAGTTTTGCTGGCTGACAGGCGGGATTCCCTGGGTCTTCAGAAACTTGGAGGAAAAAAAAAAAAAAAAAAAAGAAAGAAAGCGCTCGCATTCGCACTCGTAAAATAAAAGTAAAGTGCAACAGCAATTTGTTTGCACAATTGCTGAATGCGGCCATTGCTGTTGCTGTTGTTGCTGTTGCTGTTGGTGTTTTGTGTTGCTGTTGGCACTCGTCGCATTGTTTGCTTTGTTGCCAGTTGTTGTACATTTTTATGACAGCTCAAATTGGCCCCCGTCGCCGTGTTTCGCAGACTCGCGCGCCTCGCCTCGCTCGCCTCGATTGCCGCCAGCAACACTGTCGTCAGCATATGGCAATAAATGAAGCTGGGCCCTGGACGAAGGACTCTGTAAAGCAGAAGGACTCTGTAGCTGTTGACTGACAGCGATTGGCGTCTGATTTGTTAAGAGTCCGAGGCAGTACGCAGTCCCTTTGTCCTCTCTCTCTCTCTCTCTCCCTCCCTCTCTTTCTCTCCATCTCATTGCAGGCCCATTTCATTTTCTATTTGAGCGCTGTGAAATTAAAATAGAAATCCCGCGCCGCTTTTGACAACTTTTTAAGCTCCATTAGCGTTTGACGAAAAATGTTAGCATAACAAGGCGCCATAAAAGGGTCAAACTCGCCGCGACAGCCAAACCGCATCGCGACAGGACATTCACACAGCAAGCAGCCTTCTTCAGTTGACTGCCGCCGCCTCCTGCTGTCGCTCCTGTTGCTGTTGCTGTTAACCTTGAGGGCTGTGCCCCCACCACCACCAACTCCACCCGCCCCATTCCACACACACTCACACAGAGAGCAAAATGCCTCCTGTTTTTGGTTGCATTTCCGCAGCTCGAAAAACATTTAACTGTTTGGCATTCATTGCGAATTTAAAGGGCGGCTTAGTGACAGGAATAATAAGGAAGCTCGCAGCGGAAGCGTTGATGTCAACGCAACGGACCCGGCCGAGCCAGACTCGGGAGCGCCGAAAGTAACAACCACAAGGGACATGGGGAAGTTCGACTATGGCCATAATAATAGCAACAGCAATGGGCCACAGGGCCACGGCCCATGACGTCCTTGCTGTCTGTTGCTGTTGCTGTCCTCGTTGTCGTTCCCTTCTTTTTTCTTTTTTCCTTTTTTTTTTTTTTTTTATTTTGGTTTGGCGCTGTGCAAACAGAGCAAACCAAACCAAACGAAACGTAACGAAATAAAGCCCAAAACCTCAAAATGTTCGAAAAACGGACAACAGGCTGCAGGAGGCGGCGTGGGCGGGGTTAGGTAGCTGGAAGACCGGGACCGGGAGTTACACAGTTCACTGTGGATGCGGCTGAATGCCTCGTTCTGGCCATTGTTCTAACCGGCATAGTTAGTGAAGCTTCTGGCCAACTTGTGTGTCAGCTTTTCGGCAAGAGAGAGAATGAGGGAGTGGGAGAGAGATAGAGAGAGAAAAGCCATGCGGCAATTGTGCAAGTGGAAAATAATCAAATTAAATGCTTTAACCAGATCACATGTATATGTGAGCTTCTCTCTCTCTGTGTGTGTGTGTGTGTTGTCTTTTGTGCAGCAGCTCGTCATATCTAACCATAATTCAGCTTAAGTTAGCGCCCCATTTCTCATGGCTAGCAACATTGTTTTTAGGTATTTTTGGCAGCTAGGCAGCCAAGTGGCAGACATCAAAACACACGCCCAAAAAAATACCACCCTGCCGCCCCCCACACATCTACCAACCCCAAGCCCTGTTCATAACAACCCTCCAAATGAACGATTGCCTGCCCATACGACTCCTGCTTCTGCCGCTGCTGCTGCTGTTGCTGCTCTGCTGCCGCTGCTGCTGCTGCCGCTGCTTGCTGCTGCTGCTGTTGCATAATTTTCGGCAATCCACAAGTGTGTGTGCTTGCCTTTGCTTGCTATGCGTGTGTATGCGTATGTGTGGGTCTCTACATGTGTGTGTGGGTGTAAGAGCGCTCTCGTTACATTTGTTGCCAAAAGCAGAGCGAGTGCGTCTGCGCACTATTTGTTGATTGCCATTCGGGGGTGGCTCTAGCTCTGGCTCTGGCTTTGGCTGCTGCTGCTGGCTCTGCTTCCTCTGCTTCCTCTGCTTCCTCTGCTGCGGCTGCTGCTTGGCTACTTGTTGTGTCTTTGTGTTGGTCGCCGTTGGCTTTAAAAGCGCGGCCTATCGATCTACACAAATCAAAGAAGCAACAAAAGCCGAAGAGCAAGAAGAGGAGCCGAACTAAACAAGTATTGCTCTAGCCCTATGCATTTAGATCTGCGCAACCCTGCAACAGCCGAAGCTTTCACCCTTGCCCATTAAGCGCCAACACCACCACCAAAATGTTGTTGCTTTTGGGTTCGCTGCTGACCCGAAATCACGCACACTCGCTGTAAATTACACACACACACACACTGGTACACAGAGCTCAGTTTAGCAACTGTGACGTGAACGGCAACTGTGAAAACGTAGCGCACAGCAGTAGAAGAAGGGAGTGGTACCGTCAATAACTGACGCACAGCGGCAGCAAATTAATGCTAAATTCAAAACAAAATAGAAGCAACAAGACAAAAATACTTAAACAAAAGTCCAAAAATTCAATTAAATTCCAAAACACATAAAGCAATTGTAATATACTGCAAAATAGATACATATATTTCGGAAAATAGTATAAAATAAATAAATACAAAATCAAGTCAACGACGAGCAAGTGCCAGCTGAAAAAGAAGAAGAAGGTGTGCAACTCTCGAGTTAAATAGCAAATACAGATTTAAATATATGATTTATTAAAGTTACGCCAAATGGCTGGCAAGTGAAAATTTTAAACAAGGAAATTCATTCGGGCGAAAACTTCAATTGAAAACTCAATTTATGCATGAGTTCTCACGTTCAACTGTAAACTTTTGTTGCATGTGACGTATGCAACAAAGTGCCGAATCAGTGTGTATGTGTGTGAGTGTGAGTGTGTATGTATGCATGTGTGTGTGCGTGTGTCGTATACCGCAGCAACAGCAGCAGCAAGCCCTAACGACACTCGTTGCGAACGCTGCAAAGTATGCAATAAATTTGCGCATTGTTTATGTGCAACTAATGGCAGCAAGAGCAAGAGCAAGAGCGAGAAAGAGCGAGTTTGTGTGTGTGAGTGAGGGTGGGTGCTCGAGCACAGTGAGGTAGGCTAGGGCAACCAACAGTTGACTATTTGTTGCATGTATGCCGCACTCGTCACTCGCCACTCGCTCTAAAAAGCTCTCGCTCTCTCAATCGTAACTCTAGCGCGCTCTCGCACTCGCGCGCTCTCACTCTCTCTTTGTATTGGTGTGCGTTGCTCTTACTCGTTTCGGACTCACAAAAACATTCGACAAGTGCAGAGTGAAACAAGTTGTTGTACGCTGAAACACAGCGAACAACGAAAAAAAAATTCATTTTTTCTTGTTCAATTTTCAAGCAACTGTGAGCTTCAACAAATCAACAAAAAGTGCGTGCAACATGAAAAAATGAATATAAAGTGCTATAAGTGATGCAGTGAATGAATTGACTTACGTTCAAGCCAAATCTCATAAACAACAATTGTAGTCTGCATTTCCTAAACAAAGCCAACGAGTGCACGAGTATGCGCCATTTTAAAAAGTGGGATAGGGATAGATAGTTTACGTGGTTGGTGTGCGTGCGCGCCTTCCATTGGAAGAGCATTGCCTGCCCGTCCGCCCGCCTGCCCCTCTTGCCCGCTCACTCATACGAATTGAAGCCCCCCTTAGCCGTACCACTTTCCTCCTTTTCTACTTCCACTTCTGGTATATTAAATAAACTGTTTCGAAATGTTGCAATAAAAGAGAAAAAGACAAAGAAAAATAAAAATAAAACCGAATTTCTGCCTCAATTTGAGATTCTTGTAAAGTGCTGAGGAACAAGTGTAAAGTACATGCAGCAGCATCTACTGGAAGGCAGCAACTAGGCTTTGCTCTACTTGTTATGTGAACAGCAGCATCCGAGCTGTGAACCAGTGCGTGAATTTGTTTACAGTGCAAAGGACAAAATCAAGTGTCTAAATAAAAGAGTTTGACTAGAATAGTTACAGCAGAAACAATAAATACAAATGAATCATCAAAAAACCCCATGAGAAACAAGTTCCATTCAATCCAATCCTAAATCAAAGAGTTAAATAACAACATGTAAATGTGAATGAATGTGAATGAAAACAGCTATGGCTAATATCAAACCAACCAGTTCATCTTAATAAAAGCAATTACTACCATTGATATGAGCATAGTGGAAATAAACCCATTGAAAAGCTGTCTGAATAATAATAGTTGTTTCCAATCAAAACAATAATAATGAAGAACTAGTTCCAACCCAGTAGGCTAAAGTGTCAAGAAAAACATTTAACTTAGATCAAGAAGATAATTATCAGAGTAAAATAAAAAAAAAAATAATTTGAACTACCATCTTATCTATTATGGCAATTTTTTGTTATATTCCATTTGATAATTTAATGATCTTCTACTGATCTTGGCTTTAATGAGCTTTTAAAGTATTACCAAAAATTAAAAAGGATCTGTAGCTTATCTGAAAAGAACTAGTTCCTATTCACTATTATTATTACAAACACCAAATATATTGATATTGATAACGTATTACTTTCAAACTGAAAATAACCGGTTCTCTTTAACTACTGTCTATTTGTTAAAAAAACTGATCGGGTTTTCATAGGAGGAGAACCAGTTCCAGTGAATTGCCATTAAATATTTTACTAATTTCCATTTGCCAACTTAGTTATATGTATATTTTAAGTCTTATTTACAAAGCTCTAGTTGAGCTGTGTTAACTAATGGATAAAATCTTCTTTCCCGTTCTATAAAGAACTTTGATTAATGCACGGAAACGGAAACGGGAACGGAACGGAAACGCAACAACGAAAGCAATAACTTAAGTGATTCTTTCAAGCATACTACGCGTATTGAATAAAAGTGATATATATATACATACACACTCATATATAAAAAATATATATAGAGAGAAGAAGAACAAGAACTGCAAATGTTATAAGATAACGCTGCTGGGGAGTCTGCTTGGCAGTGGTGGAGGAGAGAGCCAAATCAAGATCAAGGATGCACGTTAACAATGCTAAGCCAAAAGCAATAGCAGCACCAGCAGCAGAAGCAGAAGCAGCAACATCAACAGCAGAAGTAGAAGTAGAAGTAGAGGTAGAGGTAGAAGTAGAACCGATTTCCGGTACGGAAGTAGCGCTACTCTCAAGGCAGCTCATGTCAAAGTCGAAGTCAAAGTTGGAGTCAAAGTGAAGCATTTTACTGCACTGACTACACTGGAGTCGATGTGAAAGAAGGTTGTGCTATATCTAAAATAGTAAATAAATAATAAATAAGTTAAAAAAAAAAAAAAACAACAAAAAAAACAAAAAACAAATAAGCAAAAACAAAATAAGAAAAGCCGTAACACAAACATACAAAGTATAGCCCAAAGGGTTTTTAAGTAGTTTATAAAAAATTTCGATCGAACTGGCAAGTGGCAGCTAGTGAACAGAGCGACGTAGACACAATGTCTGTGGACTTTATACTGCCCAATCGCAACAAGATACAAACGATTGCCTATGCGAGCAAGAAATGTGCACCGGCCAGCGATTTACAGAGCTGGCGACGTCCCAAGTCCAAACCCAAGCCCAAGCCCAGAGCAACCAACAACCAACACCAACAGCAGCAACAGCAACAGCAACAGCAGCAGCTACGTAAACTGAGGCCGACGGCCAATACCAATTGGAATGAGGATAAGTTCTCCGTGCTGCGCAATGCCAATAAGAATAATAACAATGGCCAAGGCAAGATGACCCTTAAGTCTGGCAACAAGGATAAGGAGAAGGCTAAGGATAGGGAGAGCAAGCGTAAAGCAGCACTCAAGCGTGAAATAATCGAGCTGGACGATGATGATGATGACGATRCCATGGAGGACGAGGAGGAGGTGGCCCAGTCCGACGAGCAACAATTGGAATGGGCGGCGGCACAGTCGCTGGTGCAAATGAACTCCAAGCAGGAAAAGCAGCGCCATCTAGTATCATCAGCGGGCGCTACTATAACAGCAATAGGAGAAGTGATCTCCAAGCCGGACAAGCAACGCCATCCAACAGCAGCAGCAGCAACAGGAGCCATAACAGCAACAGGAGCAACAACTGAAAATGGAGTTGGAGCTGGAGCTGGAGCAGCAGTAGCAGCAGCAGCAGCTGGAGGAACAAACACAACCAAAACAGTATCCGCAGGTAGGTGCAACAGTTAAATACATATCCGCTTTCCTTTATAGCCCTCCATTAAATCTCCTGCCCCTGGTTACGGCCACCTGCCCAGAGGTTGCGTCACAACAATGTGAACAGGTGGCTGCGACAATTTGTGTACTCGTGTATTTATTTTTAGTAGCCGTCGCCCGCACGTTTTTATGGCCACCCACTGTGGCTCCACTTGGACTACAGCTACGGACAACGGACAACCTTTCGTTTCCTTCCCTTTCTTCTGCCGCTGGCCACTCTCTCCACACTCTCTTGCGTGTTTGACATTGTCGCCGTTAGCTAATCTTTTTAGCGTATGTTGGCATTTTTCATGTTTGCCTTCTTGTCGATGTTGTTGTTGTTGTTGTTGCCGTTGTCGTTGTCGCTGCTTGTTGCTCTTCACAAAAGGCTGTGCAGAAGAAGCAAAGCAGCAAATGCAAACACGAAAACCAACACGCGCCATTGTCAAGGGGGCCAGCAGGGTGGGCGCATTTTACTTGTAGTCTTGTAGCAGCAAGCAAGCAAGTCTTATCGATTGAGAATACGAAATGTAACACAGCTCTAGAGAAATAATGTCATCCCCCTCACACCGCAAGCGAACACTATTCAAGTATATTTAATAGTAAGAGTATCCGTCTCTCCCTCTCTCCAGTGCTTTGTCGAGCACTAGCACAAAAAAATACTAAGGAGCTCGTTTATAGTATATTTAAGCAGAGGTAAGCTTCAGAAGGAGCGTCTCTCTCTCTCTCTTTCTCACTCGCTGTTGCTTTTACCCACAAAAATACTAAGCAACAGATTTTAACAGTGTTTAACCATGGTCACACTCTTAATTAAATTGAAGCGCATAAATTTTTGCAGTTTGCACAATGTTATTTGTTTTTACATTTTCAAGGCATCTAATGTACGTTTGTTTGCATAGAGAGTGTGCAACATAAATATGCCCTGTTAGCAGCAGTTAGTTAATGCATAAGCTTTTAATTGCGATATATATGCAAATAAATGCAATCGACGCAAATTTTTATTTACATATTTTAAGTGTACTTAATTTTAAAATATATTTTATAAATACATTGAAAAAATTTTTATTGAGATTAATCGAAATTGAAGGAAGCTCTCCACTGCAGACCTTCTTAACTGCCACAGGGTGATTCCGTAAAATTTATATATTTACCAAAGCTAGCTGTGCCGTTCAGCACAGGGTGTCTTTACAGTTCACTTGTGCTAATTCAGTTCAAAGTTCAAAAAGAGTAACAAGTGTTTGTTTACAAATGCAAATTTCAAGCAACTTATGCAGTTAGAACTAGTGATAATCATTAAATTATAGGATACATCGATGTGAAACAGAATTATCTGGGCATTTGGCAATCCTGGTCAGCGGCCAAGTCACAATTAAAAGCTGTGACTTGTTATCATGGCGAATGACAGCAAGTGCATTGACAGCCTTCACTTCTGATGCTGTCAATCGTCAGGAAGTTTTTTTTCTCTTTTTTCTTTTCCTGAGAAGTTGCAATAAATCTAAACTAAGGATGGAGTTAACAAATCAAATCGATAGCTGTGATATGCCTCTAGATTGTCAGTCAACCTGATGGCTGGGCTAATTGAACATTTGTAATCGAATAATTATTTGTATTCTATTTGCAGTATCTATGCGCCGTCCAGTGGCCTTTGGTCGCGCCCCAGCCGAGGATGGCAAAGTGATTTTCTATGCGCCGCCAGCGAATGCCAACGGAGCGCAGCGACAGCCGCTGCCGATTACCATAAAGCGTGAGCGCGAGAGGGAACGAGAGAGGGAGCGGGAGCGTGAGCGTGAACGCGAGCGTGAACGGGAGCGTGAGCAACAAGTGGCTGCGGCTATCTACCGAGGCCGCAGCCTGGAGGAAACGGAGGCGGCGCATGATTTGCTCTCGCTATCCCAGAGTTTGCCTCCCTTGATACCGCCCTGTGTGGTGACCATAATGAAGCAGGAGACTGTGCCCAAGCAGCCGGACAACCTAAATGTCATGCAGGAGATATCAAACGCGCCATCGCCTTACCAAAGCAGCAACAGTAGCAGCAGCAGCAGCAACAGCAGCAGCAACAACTCCAATGTTGCTGCCAGCAACAGCAACAGCTCAAATATTCGCTTTATTGGCAGCAGTTCGTATGATTTGCTGCACAGCGCAACGGAAACATCGAACAATTGTTCGCCGCTAACACCGCCCAATTCTGATCACAGCTCAGATGTGGACATTGACATGTCCTCCTCCTCCGAATCCGGCCACTGGAACAAGCAACAGCAACAGCATCAGCAGCAACAACAGCCACAGCCGCAACAGCAGCAGCAGCAGCAACAACAACAGCCGCAGCCACAACAGCGTGCCTCTGCCTTGAAGATGTGTCTCAATATGCTCGATGGACGCACCAAAGCCAGCAAAGCCAGCAAGGATAAAAAGCAGCCACAGCGTCCAAAGACCAGCAGCAACAGCAGCAGCAGCGGTGGCAACAACAACAACAGCAATAGCAGCTCGACTGCTGCCGGCAATGGCGAATCGGTGGCAAGCGGTGAGAATTATGCGAAGCGCAAGCGCGGCTGCTACAAGTGCTCCGAGTGTGGCAAGCAGTACGCCACCTCCAGCAATCTGTCGCGCCACAAGCAGACGCATCGCTCCCTCGACTCCCAGTCAGCCAAGAAGTGCAACACCTGCGGCAAGGCCTACGTCTCGATGCCCGCCCTGGCCATGCACTTGCTAACGCACAAACTGTCGCATAGCTGCGACATCTGCGGCAAGCTGTTCTCGCGTCCCTGGCTGCTGCAAGGCCACCTGCGCTCCCACACAGGTGAGAAGCCGTACGTGTGCGTGCAGTGCGGCAAAGCCTTCGCGGATCGCTCCAATTTGAGGGCGCACATGCAGACGCATTCGGGCGATAAGAACTTCAAGTGCCTGCGCTGCAACAAAACCTTTGCGCTCAAATCGTATCTGAACAAGCATCTGGAGTCGGCCTGTCTGCGAGAAAATAGCGACATATCGCTCGACAAGAGCGTGGATGACATTGATCTGGATGAGGATGAGGAGGAGATGAAGCATATCGAGGCCGATGAGCTGGAGAGCGATGAGAACAGTCAAGATATTGTGGTAGCCTAAGTAAAACTAACATTCTAACAAACTTCAAAATACTTTATAACAATGAAAGATAAAAGCAAACCCTATAAGCAATACTCGAGCACCCTTATCGATATACACATATATATATATATATACACGTATATATATGTGAATCAAAACAGTCAACTAGCAGCTTATATGAGTAGTTTTTGAGCATGGAATTTTTAGTATGGAATGTGTTTTGGTAATGCCGATAATGCCGATATACTCAATAGCATGTTTCTCAATATTATTATTATTACTCCAATTACTATTATAACTACGATTTTTGTTTTCTCCTAGTTTTGAGAATGAGCGAGAAATTACACAMAAAAGGAAAAGAATACAAATATATAAACAAAAGGTTTAATATGGAATCCAAAATGTAACTTATAGTAAAAATCTGACACAACGAATATTATGGAACATAAGTAGAAACTCTATATACAAAAACTATATATA